AAATTCACCTCTTTTATTTTACTATTTACTAATTCCATATACTCTTTTATATTGCTAAGTATTCCCAATTGAGCCTTTATTTTATTTCGTTTATTAAGGAGCTCTTTTAAAACTGATGGATATAACCCCATTTTATTATTTTTATTTTTATGTCTTATAGACCATGCATGTAAAATTCGGCTATTAAAAGGGAACTCGATTTATAGAGGGTCTCGCCCGCTTCTTTTAAATTATCCACTTCTTTGGGCGATAGAGTCATTTTCTCAGGTAAGAGGTTATAGTTCATTATAATACTTGGGTATAAAGATGCGAAATCCAAACCCGTGACAGGCCGCTCATTTTCTAAACCCTTATCTGGTGGAAATACATAGGCTCCAGGGAATGTGCCTTTTTCTTTTTGCTTAGGAGAAATCAAAGTAATTAATATATCTCTTTTCCACGCTTCAGCACCTAATAGATTATATACCTTCATACCCCCAGCATAGTAGTGCAAATCGAATAAAGAAACATATGCAATTGAGGCCATCTCTCTGTAATCATTTATTACATTTCTCTTAACCATAAGTTCTTAACAACTTAAAGCATCTTTAATACAATATTTAGCAATTTTATGTATATTTTCAGTAGTCTCGAGTGAGGTATTCTCCTTGCTTCATGTATAATATTCTCTCATAACTTTTATTGGTAAATCTATTTTACTACCAAGACCATGTATCTCTAAGAAATAGTTGAGTGATTTTTTCTCAGATTTCGGATAAAGCTTTTCACAACATACTTTCACATCTATTGAAACGCAACCGGGAACCTTGAGAAAAGTAGATATAAAATTTTTATCTGGTGTGATTTTAATTTCGATCTCTTCCTGATTCTTTTTCTTTTTGTTACCCTTGTTTTCTTTTTTGGAAGACCCCCATCTTTGCTCTTTATGAAAGAAATCTTTATAAAAAGGTTCATCTACCCCTCCACAATAACTCCAACGAAGAATAGAATCGATTTTAGCCTTTTTTCGTGGGTTTGCTGACATCTTTGCCATCATCCAATCTAGAATTTTTAGTTGGGTGGCTCTTTCCACTACAAATGACCAGTCATACTTGGATCCATTAAAAGTGAGTTCGATATCAGGGGCTAAAGCCCGCCAGCATAGAGCAAATGCCTTTAATAGATTCCTTTCATTTCCACAAATAATCATGATCCAATTTGGGTCTGGTGCTGTTTCTATATCAACAAGGCAGATTTGTTTTAATAGGGTAGGATCATCTTTCCAGTGAACAGTCATACAAATCATAAATATATTATCCTCTTTATATTTCGCCATAGAGAAATGGTCTAATCCAAGCGTTAAATGTATTTCTATATCCCAGGTAAGGACTAATGCTCGATTACGAGTAAGAAGTTGTGAAGGATAATTTTTGTATAAAATTGAGAGATTTTCTATAGAGTAGTAATTATTAACTGATAAATAAAAAGCATGTTCACATAGTGGTGAGCGAGCACTATAAGGCATTCCATTGCTATTGTATTTATAATCAGTTAATAATGCCCATCTAGAAA